AAGACTTTGCAGACTCTGAAGACTTTGCAGACTCTGCAGACTCTGAAGACTCTGCAGACTCTGCAGACCCAGTCCAGGTCCAACATGGCTGCCTGAGCTGCTTCAGGGTGGACCTGAGGGAGTGAAGTGTCTTCACCTCCTGGATGATCTTCTGCAGCTCCCGGTTCTCCCGCTCCAGCTGCCTGGACTTCTCCTCGTCATTGTTGTTGGTGGACGACCCGGTCTTCAGAGTGTCCTGCTGCTCCGACTGCCATTCGCCGCGGGTGATGAGACGCCGCATCTGCACCGCCGAGGGAAGAGGAAGCAAAAACAAAAAGCTCAGAATCCATGGAAACGCTTTTCCACACATTGACTAAAAGGCCACGCCTCCTGCAGGTTCACTGCTGACACGTTAAAGCAGGACCAGGCCGCCTCCAGGTCTCCTCCTCCTGTCTAAACTAGAATAAAGCTCTAATTTGATGCATTCTGCAGAATCTCCACATTTAGCTGCATTTCTACACCAGAAAAACTAAACTGGTTTTATTTACGTTTTGGCAGCAGCTTTAAACCAAGCAGCTTCAGCTTGTTGTTGGAAACAACTTGAGACAAATGGAGACATCAGGCAGAGAGACGCACTTTGATCAAATGTTGAGCTGAACTTTGCTCTGACAGGTCTGACCTTCTCTGGACTGAACTGTGACTAGCAGAGAGTTTCTCTCATGTTCTCAGGGAATCAGTCACCTTCGGTACAAAAAGCACCACCAGAGTGATGTAGGCGGAGAAGACGATGGCCAGGGAGGCGAAGGCAAAGGAGGCGTCCTGCTGCGAAGACAGGATCATCGTCACCGGAGCCGTGATCAGGCACAACACCTGCAGGAGCAGAGGGGGGAGGGGTTGGAGATCACATCCATCAAACCAGCATCAGGAAGCTCCGCCTCCTGCAGACTCCATTACGCCTTCATTAAGATGAAACGTGGGAATCATTAAACACACTTTGAACTCGGCTCTGATTGCAGCAGAAAGCAGCACAGTTATCGTCAATCATTAAGAATGAGAGATAAATCTATTTAATGAGCGTTTAGTTTAAGAAGGTTGATGCTGAGGAGATCTTCCAGAGCAGCAAAACATCTAAAGTCCTCTGGAGTTAAAGGGAAAGTTTGGTCAAACTCAGAATCCAAACTTCTGAAAGT